CGAAATGAGCAGTCTCAAGAAATGAATAGTCTACCGTGTATACAAGGTCAACCAAACCCTCCACACCATCTGGCCTGGTCCACCCAGTGGACATATAAATTAGAGATTGATGATAAGAACAGTGGCTGGAATGTCCCTAACAGTGCGGGCAGGCCCACATGTGGTCCACTACAGCGTTAAAGTGGCAGAATGACCAGTGACATAATACAAAAAATGTGCTGGGCTATGAACAAACGCTAATACAGTAACAGTTAAAGAAGCAAACTCATGATAGTAAAATCAAAGCAATCAAACAACTCGATTCCTACAACGAATACATGGTCAAAATTCAGAGCAATCATTATTCATGCGAGTGTCAACTCCTTTTTAACTTTAAGGCATATCTGACTCAATTAAAAAAAAAGGAATATTCAAGTAATCTAAGAACAAACATGACTATTGACTATCAATGAACAAGCGGTTCAAGTATCCTCAACAAAGTTCAAACAACCATATGATGTGAAATCATAAGCTAGCATCAACTTGAAAAAGTCAAAGCCATGAAATGAACATAACCCTTCACAACTTCAGTTTTCCTAGAAACCACTTGCAAACTCCACCAGTTCCAATTAAGGAAAGTAAAATGAACCGAACTCACATATTTTGACATGGCTGAAATCCACGGACCAATGGAAGTGATCCAATTCAATACTGTCATAATGACCGTCATGAGGGGAAACTCAAAAACGTCATATAATTCCAATATCCGATTCATTAACAAGCAATTACTATATACAAGGAAACTCGATCACTACGAAAGATAAATGAATTTATCATCGAGCTTTAGAGTTGAGGACGGGGGGTAAACATTCTCCAAAAATACTCAAAACAATGAATAGTTTGACAATGAACTGAACTAGCGATAAATATATTCATAACAAAAGACAGGGGAACTTACCTGTGCCAGAGAAATGATGGGTACAGCAAAATAATGCAAATTCGATAGCGACGATTCCAATCCACCAACGGAGAGCGGTGTGCTCTACCCCAGGCAAGGAGTGGAATGCCGTTCTTGCACTTGACCAACCCATATCACTCCTGGCCAGGCTGTTGCCCCCCACATTGTTTTAGATAACACACAGGACCATGCCTGACACAAGGCAACACCAAGATGGATGTCTTGGGAAATTTAAGGAGACAGACTGACCTCCCCTACAAAAATAGACTTACACTAGTCATTCACAAATTAGCAAAAAAACAAAACCTGGCAAATTTGGGGGGGGGTATGACATGCACATGTACTCTGCCAGTCTTTATGGGCAATATTTCAATTCCAATGCCTCGCTTTAATAAATCCAGACTGGGAGAAAATAAAAAATTGAAGTATTTGCATTTGTAAGCACTTTTTCTTGGCAGCTAGTAAGGGTGGCAAATTTAACTTCAACAACAGGCGTCACACTGAAAAGGTATCACTTTGTGCACAAACATGCACCTTGACAACTAAACTCAGAGCACAGAAATGGTGACAGCTTAAGTTATTGCAATGAGGTAAGTCCCAAAGGAGTATCGAGAAAGTATATAACACTAATTTTCAAACCAGTTGACACCAAAATGCTGATGATTCCTCACACATGAAAAATGGAGGCCTGCACTTACACTTTACATGCGCTCCATAACATGATCAATCTGAAGTAATTCAATTATTTGCGACGGGAAGTGGAGTGCTATCCATGGTGCTGGAACTGTCTTCCCTGTCTTGGAGGCAACAGTTTCCTCTCCGTGATGCCTTCACACATCCCTGAGCAACATGTAAGGCTAGCATATTCTGCCCAAACTGTTCAACAGATGGATTCCTGTTTGATATCCTAGCACCACGCTGTTTACTAAAATACTCCTGTAGCGCATCTTGGCAGAATTTCTCACTTACCAGATACTGCACCCCAGGTTGCTGGAGTACATGTAGATGTTTCCCCAGCTCCACAAAGGAATGCACTGAATATGAAATGGAATGTAAAAAGAAATAACAGGAGGATTTTTTAGCCAGGAAGTTTGGGTTAAATTGTAAATGAAATTCAGCCACTAGATTTTTGCAGCTCATTCTCATTGAAGCGTTCATATTACGATGGTGATGATTTTGGGCAACAAATATCAAAGGTACAGTGTATCTACATGTAAATGCAACCTTGTCAAGGACAATACACTCTCCAGCCATGCTACCATCAGTTTTGCAATGTTCTAAAATAGATTTCAGGGCAATACTTGTGATACTGATGATACTGATTAGTGTGCAAGTGTTGTGAGGTGTTTTGAAGAAATGAAAATGCCTCCCCCCATTGATGTCTCCAGAAATATTATTCAAAAATAAAATGAACAAAATGTACTTAAATTCTGATTACCTGTGATCTTAATGCCTTCCACTGTTTCTCTGCTTAGTGTCATCTTCTTTTTGGTGGCTTTGTCCAGCTGTTGCTTTGACTGCACCTCCTCTTCCCACTCCCTCAGGAAGTCCAAGAAATCTCCCTTGAGCCACTGTGAACAAAATAGCATCAAGTAATTTAAAATATGGAAAAATAACTATGCTAAACAGCTTTTAGGCCGACATGCTTTACATACCAGTCTGAATTGATAGCCTACATTTCAACAAGTGCATACATATGTAAAAGATCATTCACCTTTCCATTTGTCACCAAAACACTTGACTGTTAATTATGAATGCACAGGATAAGTAGTGTTCAAGATTTTTCTAACAAAATGTTTATTTGTGCAGTTAACAATTTCATTGCAAACAAGTTAAACTAATCTTTTATTTGATATGAATTCAAACTTACATCAAAGCGCCAATCATCAACAGTCTTGTAGTGTTCTAGAGCAGGCTTTCTTGAGTGTACCCCCTTGTAGGTATCCCATACATTAAGGCAATCGAAGAACTGATCAAACATGGTGACAAATTTCACAGTACATTGTTGATGCATAACAGTGTTGCTAGGATGCTTATCAAAAATAACTTTTGTTGGGTATCATGTTTTTTTTAATGAATTTGTTTGGGAATTGTGGGGGGGAGGAATCCAGGGTTTCTGGGATCGGTACCTGATTCAGGGTTTCTTTGTTGCTAATGTAGACTTTTAATACGATGAATACAAATATTTTTATTCTGGGTTTCTCAAATTTCCTGATTAAAATGGAAATGATAGGCCAGTCTGATCCACATATTGACTTTACTGATAAATAAGCCAAAATTCTACACACATACATGTAGCGGTGAGGGACACCTTCATTTCCATATAAATGTTCATGAAGCAAATACAATTTCACATTTTTCCTAACATGCACTCATGTGTACGGGACTGAAATGAAATAGTAAAGTCTTTTTCTTATTGAATATTCTTATACCTTGAACCATTGTTTAAGCAATGAAAACAATTTTTAAAGGAATGGGATCCAAGATGCCATAAGCATATTGTTCTTTTAAGAGTGCTAACACCAACAAGGTGAGACTTGCAATTTAATATTTCCATTGTACATGTACATGCACGTGGTCACATTTCATGTGGTACCACTGAAAAGAAATTTTGAGCTCTTTTTAAAACATTAAACTTACAAAGAGATTCTTGGTCTTATCGTGCCAGCCTGAGTGTTCCCATTTGTTTCTGGTCGTCTTGATCAGGTGGGGCATATCACAAAGAAGATATCTCAAGATGGGTCAAAGGGGTTGGTTGTTGAATAGGTAGGGTTCATAGAATTTCCGGTTTGGTGAAGCTCCATCCAAGACCAACGCTCGAACTTTGAACCCGGCTGTCTCCACATATAGGATGGTCTCATACAGGCAGGCATAAAGTTGGTCACTGGTCAAACAAGTGGGTGGATGATAGCCAATCGGAGCATGAAGGGATGAAAAGATACCTCGCAGCATCAGAACCAGAACATGTTTTGCAATTTCTGGATCACCTTCACCTCTGCACCTCCGTTCAAAGTCTGCGACCTCGTTAGCAATACTTGTAACATCTGTGAAACCCACTACTCTGCCCGATCTGATGGAAAAACACGGTCCAGATTTCACTTCATCTCATCAAAGAGCATTGAAACATTCCTCTCATTTTTAGGGCAACCCTTAGTTTCATCAACAATTCTCTGCTGCATTGCTGAATTGAATTTTATTGTAGGCTTGGCAAAGTGCGTGTAGGCATATAATGTGCTGGGATGTGGGAGCTTTAGGAATCCTGTCTGACGAAGAATGTTGTACCCTGACTAAGATGTGCTGTGAAGGGCAATGCACCATCTTACGATAGCAGGGTGCCATCTCATCTGCTTACCCTTCACAGCAGCTTCCTTTTGTTGTGCCCATAGCAGACCTGCTGGCGTATCTTCTCCAAGAACATCGCTCACCTCCTTGCCACTCCCAAGGATGATCTCTCGCAAAGGTGAATCTTGCGCCTGGTCAAGAATCACACTCTCTTTGGAAATGACTTCAGCCACTCTATCCCTTAGAGTGTTAGCCTGTCGCTTTAAGGCCCGTCTCCCCATCTGTAAAACAGCAACTTTCTCTCTCAGCTGTATTGGTGTTAAGGTCTTGTTTGGCACCGACGAAGAAACTGAAAGAGCCCGCATTAGTCTTGCTCTCTGACGGCTCTGTACTTTCAGCAGCTCACTGCGGTATATTTGGCAGACACTGCACCTCAACTTGCCACAAAATAGTCGGCATTTTTTGCGCCGAATGGTACCTTCAGATAAGAGATCTTGGGGGGTTATGCTGATGGGGACTTGGCCTTCGACGCTGATGAGCTGGATCAAATCTTGGAAATGTGCATTTCCTCCACACACCTGTGTTGGTGTAATCTTCTGCAAAAGTGTGGACAACCCTTCCTTATCGAGTGTGCTTGGAACATCTGGGCATACCTCAGCATGAACACCAAGTACCCCTGACACCTCCAACTGCTACGTTAAATCTCGGAAGATTCTGAGGTACAAAACTGGCCAGCCCTGACTTGACATTTTCATGAACTGCAACCAGTCTGCCCCCTCCCACACCAACGGCCCACATCTCTCTCCATCATTCTTCATGTCCTGAATGGTCAATGTAGCAGGTGAAGTTGCAGTTCCACACTTCAGGCAGGTTGAATCATCAAACACAGCCACTTGAATGCCACAAGGGGATTTGCCCTTTCCTCGTTTTATTTTAGGGAGCCCACCATCTCTTCAGCCTCACATCACAAGCTTTACAAATGAATGGCAGATGTACATCAGGATTGTCATCGTCAACATCAATGCCAAAGGAAGCCATGATAAGCTGGGATAGACACGCTTTACATATTGGGTTGCGGTCATCTGGAATTGCTCTTTCTTTTCCACGCAATCTACACAGCAACTCTAAGCAATGTCGGTGACTATCGGACATGTTGCTACACTGAATGGGCCTTGTCAGCACAAGGCTGACACTCATCACAAACACGATGATAAACAGCCTCCAAAACACTCTACTCTGTAACTGTAACAGCATGAATGAATGACAATGAATGACCTAGAAGAAAAGATGTAAGGGCTCATAAGTACATGTACACTCATGTACAAGCATGACAGATTAGTGGGAAGTGTACAGAGCTCTCCATGGTATCTTGAACACAATGTTTCAGAGTGTTAAATAATATGAATTTGAGTTGCTTTGGATTTTTTTCTGTTGTTTGTATTAAACCACGGAGGAATAAAACAGTAGTTCTGTATCAGGAGCACTTTGTTGTACTCCACAATAAAAACGTTACTTGAAAATAAAATCAATCCAGCACCAAGCAAGCCATGTACCAGAAAGTAATTTTGTTTCGAAAGGGACAGTACTTATGTTCTGAATTACTACTGAATAAAAAGAAAATAAAACAAGTTTAAAATGTTTCAAATTCAATTAACCAACTGGGTTTCGCCAAGATAAAATGTGACAAAACTGATTTTTGACAACATTTTCAAACCAAACTAAAAATTTTGATGAGTGGATTATTTTTTCACTTCAGTTGAAAAGTGGATTCTTCAGAAATGTTTGTACAGTTGTGCTTATATGTTTTATTCCTCCATGCATGATGTGAACATATACTTTAAATCAAAAACTAAAAAAATCAAAACAATAACAAGGAATCAGTACATCTTGTTTGACAGATAATTTCATTTTGCTAGGGGTTAATCGTCTTTATGAGTTCCTGTTTCACAATCTCTGTTCCAGAAATTTATAGAATTAGGATTACATGATGATTTTTAATCGAAGTGCGCAGAAATATACAACACCACGATTGCTGGTCTGCAACTGTTGAATCACGGCATTCGTGTGAAATTAAGAACTAAAGTTTGGCTCAAACATCGATTTTTAGCAGTACAATAGTTGCCCCAACCATTCTCCAGTCATGGCATTCATGCCCTGGTACAGCATGTGCTTTCCCTCCAAGCCTGACTGAAAAAAAGAAGAAACCTTTGAAAAAAGTTCAAGTTTGAACAAAGACGCACCACACCGCACAACGATGTGATGTGTATGAATGTAACGAACCTTGTGCGAAACATACGATTTTTAACTGGCCAAAGTTGGCCAAAATGTCTCGAAATCATAAAAATATGCATGCCTATTTTCAGATATATATCATAAAAACTGTCCCATGAAACTGGGAGTAACTTACCCTCTGAATGATGGATTTCGATGAACTAAAGACCAGAAGACGCAGAATTTCAAGGCGCATCGCAAGGAGAAAAATGCTGAGTCATGCTAAGTACCTGGGTCTACTGCGCATGCGATTTGTGTTCATTTGCTTGTTTGTGATGAGTTGGCTAAAAAAGTGAAAACAATTCATTTCTCCAGTGAGCAGACCAATGCGGTACCAGACCTTGTGCTCAAAGCGGTCTTATCGCGGGAGGTCTCCTTGGCTTTATCGCTGGTCAGCCTGGGTCACTAATTGGTCAATAAATATCCTGTGGGGGCTTGGTGGGCCATTTAAAATCCCTGTGTTTTATTCCTCCATGGTTTGCCAAACCACTTGTTTATGTTGGTGCCATGGCATATCTGGGATGACATCTTTGTCATGTTTCATGCTTACCATGAAACCAACTAGAATTGAGGAACAAGGACATATCTGTAAATTTTAATGAAAATACTTTAGTTTAGGTCGAATCCAATAAAATGAAGGCACATCATGTACATTAACTGAAAGGAAGTGGCTATTTTTAATGTCCCAGGAGAAAATTCCCATTGAATTGGGCCCAATGGGAACCCATTGGGTCCCATGTAATGGGACTCATACAATGGGACCCAATGGGATTAACATGGAATTTGGGACATATCCCATTGGGTCACATTGACATATCCCATTGACATAACCCATTGGGTCCCATTGACGTATCCCATTGATATAACCCGTTGGGTCCCATTGACATATCCCGTTGATATAACCCATTGGGTCCCATTGACATATCCCATATGTCCCACTGAATAAAATCCCATTGGGTCCTATTGAATATTAAAAAACCCCATTGAGTGATGTCCCATTGGTCCCACTGGCTCATTGATAGAATCCCATTGGTAATGTATAGAACACTTGTAAAGCAGCGACACAAGACATACATGTATGTGATTAAATATTGTAATGAATATCTTGAACTCTAAGAGTTAATTGGTAAGTAGATTGACTTACAAATCTAAAGAATGTAAAAATTAAAACTTCATTGATGGTCAGTCCTTGATGCGGCAAGTAGCAGTGAAGTCCTCCTTACAAAGGTGGCATGTTTACAAAAATAAAATAGGAATTGGCTAAACCATGGCAAGATTTTAGGCAAGCTATTGTTTTAAACCTTGTTTCCAGTTGATGACTGAAAGAAATCTGGTCACTTTGAAAACT